TAACAATAGCACCTTTATTTTCCTTTTTTTTTTTACATACCACTTTCTGCTGTAGTCTGGCCTGCGTCTTCTTCATGAGCAGCAGTTCGACGATGATCGACTGTTTCTGAGGATCAACCACTCGGCCGTTCATCTGGAATCCGTTCATCAGGTTGGCGGTCCTGGGGGAGGAGGGGGAGGGGGTGGGGTGTAGGGGGTGGAGGGGGGGGGGGGGGGGGGGGAGGATGTGTGTGTTGTGTGTGTGTGTGTTTGTGTAAGGAGATATATGTGTTAGTGAGTGTTTGTGTGTGTGTGTGTTGTGTGTGTGTGTGTTGTGTGTGTGTGTGTTTGTGTAAGGAGATATATGTGTTAGTGAGTGTTTGTGTGTGTGTGTGTTTGTGTAAGGAGATATATGTGTTAGTGAGTGTTTGTGTGTGTGTGTGTTTGTGTAAGGAGATATATGTGTTAGTGAGTGTTTGTGTGTGTGTGTGTTTGTGTAAGGAGATATATGTGTTAGTGAGTGTTTGTGTGTGTGTGTGTTGTGTGTGTGTGTGTGTTTGTGTAAGGAGATATATGTGTTAGTGAGTGTTTGTGTGTGTGTGTGTGGGGGGGGGGGGGGACCTTTGGCCTCTGACCTTTAATCCTTGACCTCTTTCATTCCTCATCATCAGCCATGACCTCAGCATACTTGACCTCTTGGTTCTCCCTTGGTCCTTGATTCTGCCTTGACCCCCTGACCTTTGAACTCTTGACACCCCCCCCCTGAATCTTTCTTGGCTTTTGACCCCTTGGTTTTTCTCTCGACCCCTGACCTTTGACCTCTGACCCCTTGGCTTTTCCCTCGACCCCTGACCTATGTTTTTTTGTGTTCTTTGACCCCTTGGCTTTTCCCTCGACCCCTGACCTATGATTTTTAGTGTTCTTCAACCCCTGACCTCTGACCTTTGACCCTTGACCCCCCGACCCGCACTCACTTGGCGAAGACGGCCCGATCTGAGCGCAGCATCTCCTTCGTGGTGAGGCCGTTGGTCCTGGGCATCGCTGACTTGCGGACCCTCTGCTTGCCCATGACGCTGATCACAAGGCTGCCGTTGTTCAGGTACTCCACCAGCTGCGGGGGGAGGGGGAAGGGGGTCCGGGTGGTTAGTGGGAAAGGGGAGGGGGGGGGAGAGGGAAGGTGGGTTGTGAGCAGCGTAGATAAGTGGAAGGGGATATATATATATAATACATACATATGTGTATGTACATCTAAATTCATATATATATATATAAATATATATATATATAAATATATATACTTGAAATATATTGTATTATATGTAGAGTATAGTTAAATACATAGGACTAACTCAACGGAAAACTTTCGATATCTTCCCCGAGTTCGAAATTGTTTCCCCTTTCCAACCCAAGGCTCTTAAAAGCTATCTATCGCCTCATCCACGAAACCTTTGATATACCTCGTGTTTTTCTTCCGTATCTTTCCTCTCCATCGTAATTCGTTATAAAACAATTGATGTAACGATGAATCAGATACACGATGATAAAAAGGAAGATCGAATTACCTGTCTCGTGGCGGGTGTGAATGAATACTGCTTCGCGTGGTTGAAGTCCGGGTTCGAGGTGTCCGAAATCTTCTTGGTTTTGGTCGGTTCCTCGTCTAGGTAAACGGAGTAGGTGCAGTAAACATCCTGGGGATAAAAGCGGGAAGCAGTGTTTATGTGTATTGTAGGTGTGTTCTGAGAGTCGTTATGGGAAATGAGGACTTTTTCTTTCTTTCTTTCTTTCTTCTCTCTCTCTCTCTCTCTCTCTCTCTCTCTCTCTCTCTCTCTCTCTCTCTCTCTCTCTCTCTCTCTCTCTCTCTCTCTCTCTCTCTCTCTCTCTCTCTCTCTCTCTCTCTCTCTCTCTCTCTCTCTCTCTCTCTCTCTCTCTCTCTCTCTCTCTTCTATACTATGTGTACTATGAACAATAATAAAAAGACCAAGGAAAAGATATATGCTATAAAAGTTATTTCAACAGGGCGAATGATTTCTATATTCCTTATATGTGTTAAAGACTTCCTATTTTGTGAAGAGAAAACGTGAAATCAAAATGAAAAAATATAGAAGCAAACGAGAAGAAAATTCCAAACACAGAAGGAAAAAAAATAATGATAATAAATAAATAAAAAAAGTATAATCATAATAATTGACAGATGTCTGTGATAGGATAAAATACTCGTCAGCCGTTTTGCATATTAATGCGTTTTGTATATCAATGAGTGGTACTTGATCACTTTTTCATGAATGTCGGTAAATTATTAATTCTATTAATTCGCAAAGCCATTATACGTTGCTGATTCTCGAATTCATTCAGTTAATTAATAAAAGTAATTTATTAATTAATTGATAAAAGTGATTTAAAAAGCTACAAATGAACAAGTAGATATAGATGTCTGTATTCACATTGCAAACATAAAATCAAATAGATCCAAATATTTCAACTTATTTTTTTTATAAATAACAGTAACGACGAAAATAATAAAAATAACAATAATAACAACGGCAAAAAATAATAACAAAAAACGATAACAACAACAAAAGTAAGAATAACAAAAATACAACTAAACAGCAACAACAAAAAAACAAACACCAGCGCCCCATAAGAACAACGACACTCCCTGGCACTCCCTGGCACTCACAGCGTATCGGTTGGGCAGTCCGCGGCAGTTGAGGATCCTGACGTTGAAGAAGACGTCAGTGCCAATCAGGTCGTCAGCGATGTCCACGAACTTGTCATCTTCCTCGACGTAATCTTTCCCTGTCGCGTCGCACGGGACGATCTCGACCTGGGTGGGATGAGAAAGATTTTTTTTTTTTTTTTTTTTGGGGGGGGGGCAGGATGGGGGAATGGGGGAGGGGGCGTTAGTGGGTGGGTGTAGTGTGGGTGTATGTGTGTATGTATGTGTGTGTTTGTGTGGTGTTTTTTTTGTGTGTCTCTGAGTCTGAGTCTGTGTATGTGTGTTTTTGTTTCTGTGTGTGTGTGTTTGTGTTTCTGTGTGTGTCTGTGTATGTGTGTTTCTGTGTGTTTCTGTGTGTGTGTGTGTGTGTGTGTATCTGTGTGTGTCGGTGTCTGTGTTTGCGTGTGCGTGTACGTATGTACATTCATTTGAAATCACACCATAAATCCGGCAACTCTATTCCAGAAAACACATCCATCATAACAACACACACGCCTTCCCACCAAACCCCCAAAAACGAACGTAAATCCCACCTTTAAAAAAAAAACATTAAAAAAAATTCACCCAAACGACAGTAACAAAGAAAAAATACTCACATTCATGATTCCGATTTCCGCGCCTTTGTAGTTTGTGATTTCGAGTTGTTCGTTGAGCTCGATGCTGTGGGCGAGAGGCTGGAGGATCACTTGAGCAGTTCCTATGCGAATCTCTGTGTCCAAAGATTCCTGGAAGGGATCCTCCTCCTGTGGGAAAGGGGAGAGGGGGGGGGTAATAAGAGTTCTTTACCGTCTTTGTTTGTTTGTTTGCTTCTGCCTGTCTTTTTTTCAGTCACTTGCTCAATCTCTCTCTCTCTCTTTGTCTTTCTCAGACTTTTTTGTCGTTGTTTGTCTTTTTATTTTTTTCCTTTCTCTGTTCTCTCTCTCTCTCTCTCTCTCTCTCTCTCTCTCTCTCTCTCTCTCTCTCTCTTCTCTCTCTCTCTCTCTCTCTCTCTCTCTCTCTCTCTCTCTCTCTCTCTCTCTCTCTCTCTCTCTCTCTCTCTCTCTCTCTCTCTCTCTCTCTCTCTCTCTCTCTCTCTCTCTCTCTCTCTCTCTCTCTCAATAATGATAACAATAATAACAATGATAATAATAATAATAACAATGATAATAACAACAAAGACGAAAACAATAATAACAAAAATAAATAAATAAATAAATAAATGAATAAACTCACCTCAGGTTTTTCCCATTCGTCATCATCTTCATAATTGGTGTACATTTCCTTCATCAGATAAAGGCGGTTCAAAAACTTCTCCTTCGGCCACACAAACTCGGTGCCATTTTGCAGGTTCCTCATCTTCACTTGAATCTGTTGAAGGAGGAAGAGAAGGAGGAAGAAGGAGGAAGAAGAAGAAGAAGAAGAAAGTTGAATTAGATTTTTTTTTTTCCTTTTTTTTTTTTTTTTTTTTGGTAGTGGGGTATGTGTGTTTGTTTTGTCTCCTTATTTTTTTGGTTGTTTTTTATATTTTTTGTTGTTGTTTTGATTTGCTGTTGTTGTTTTCTTTTAATGCTTTATTTCTTTTTTTCTCTTTTCTTTTTTGTAATGATTTTTTTGGTTGTCATTAATTTCTTGTCCTGATTGATTATTTTCAATCGTTGGTGTGTGTGTGTGTGTGTGTGTGTATGTGTGTGTGTATGTGTGTGTGTGTGTGTGTGTGTGTATGTGTGTGTGTGTGTGTGTGTGTGTGTGTGTGTGTGTGCGTGTGTGTGTGTGTGTGCGTGTGTGTGTGTGTGTGTGTGTGTGTGTGTGTGTGTGTGTGTGTGTGTGTGTGTGTGTGTGTGTGTCTGTGTGTGTGTATACATTTATAATTTATTGTTTTCATGGAATATTTGTTAGTGTTACGTTGATATATGGTAATATCATCTTTTATAATTTGTTTTTGTTTGTTTTTGCTAAAGACTTTGCCATATCCTTCAGAGATGATATTACTATCTAATCATTTGCCTCAGTCATCATCATCTTTATCCTACAACTGTTGTTTTGTTATTCTATTAGTGCTGATAACGTGAGACGTTTGTGCTAAAATTTGGAAATTCTGCTTTTACTCATTAATTTTTATAAATATTTGGACAAAAAAAATTATTGCATGCAGACTGATGTGCATGCAAGTACATAAACAAAACAAAATATCAGATACTTAAAATCTTTCTGAATATTGAATCTAAAAGCAGAAAACGATATATATGTCTGAAAGCATGAAAGTTTTTTTGCTTTTTTGTCAAAAAGAAGAAATCTGTTTAAAAAAAACGTATAATCACTCTTATCA